TGAGTTTAAGTACTGAAATAGAAAGGACAAAGAGATAGCCAAACTTAGAAAAAAGATGCTGGTGCAGTCTAAACTGAAACACTGTTCAGTAATTGGGTCATATCTGGAGTTGTAGATCTCAGATTTAGGTCCACTTTATATGGATAGAAAGGTAAGATATAGGCTTACAACTTTCATGGAGCTAAGGATTTAAAAAGGCCATTTTCAAGTTCAAATTGTAGCAACAACGAAGAAGTCCAAATCTGTTTTGCAGCCTGAATATTATTCAGTATTTGAGCCATATCTGGAGTTCTAGAAGTCCAAATGACCTCATTTTTTTCCTTGGAAAGCTTAGACAATTTCCTAGAAATTTCATGGTATAAGTGGTTCCAATTCTGACGTTATCAATGATATTTTATTTAGATAAAAAGATAAGAATTGTTACTAAGTCAAGATATGGTCACCCACTCATCAATTATTTATCAAATCAATAGTTCTAAATTTTAGCCTATAAAAGGAGATATCTACCATGTATTTAGGCATCTTGGTTTTTAGATTAAGATTATGCTTTTACTTTCTCTCATTGTATTGCTTAAGTTTTGCTTTTATTAATATCAAGTTATACCTTTAGTTTCCTTTCCTCTACTTAGTTAACTTTTATCTTATTTATATTTATATTTTGTTTATTTATGTTTTTTTTTCTTCATAATGTTTAGTTAAGTTTATTATGTCAAGGTGAAAAGGTTACATTAATGGTGTAAGAATAAGTATAATATAAACTCAATATGGACCTTCATGTTTGATACTAACATATTTTATATTTGTTATCTTGTTCACTTTTAATACTTTGTTTGTTAAATGGTTAATCTAGATTTATGTTATATAACACTTGGTACAACAAATACTTAGTACTTTTACAGCCTATACTGTATGGTATAACCGACACCTGTGCTATGAAAGAAACTTGATTTATTGTTAAAATAAGTTATAACCATGAATGCCTGACAACATTTACAAGTATTAGTATTAATCGAACAAGATAACTAATGTAATCATATTAACAATTTATAATCTGATTAAAACCTTCTTTGTGTGTGGTTTTCAATTAAATAATAAGAGTTTATACTATACTTATTTGACATACTATTAGTAGATCATCTAACCTTGACATTTGTTGTTATCATTGTTTACTCCTTATGTTAATCTTCCATCTTAAATTTCTCATCAACTTCTTCTTCTTTACTACTACTACTACTACTGTTATAATTATTATTATTGTTATTATTATTATTACTATTGTTGTTGTTGTTGTTGTATTATTATAATCTATAATTTATATAATTAATCTCCTTGTGGTTCGACTCTGGTCTTACCAAGTTATTTATTACTTTGACATTCCTGCATTTAAGAGAAGACACCAATCTTTTGGTCGAGTCACTAGGAAATCATTAATAGTCCACATCAAAGCCACTCTCATAACAAAATTCAGTTTCCTCAAGATATCATAAAACAAAGCTCTAGAGGACCATAACTGCGTCAACTCATCAATCAATTGTCGAAGCCAAACATCTAGATTCTACCTTAGACTACTCGGACCTGGTATGCCCATAAATAAAAACATGAATTCCGGCCTCATACATATCCCCGATGGCAAGTTATAAATCGTTAGTATAACGGACCAACAAGAATAAGAAGTAGCAAATGACCCGAATAGGTTGAATCTGTTTGTACATAACCCAAGACACACATTCCTTGATTTAGCTAAAAAGTGAGGATGCACACTGTTAAAGTGTTTCCACGCTTCACCGTCAGAAGGATGCACCATCACTCCATCAACTTTATCATATGATTGGTGCCATGTTATGTGCTCAACAGTCCTTGGCAACATGAATAACCTCTGCAGTCTAGATGTGACTGAAAAGTATTTAAGTTTTTTATATACCACTAGAGTTTTTCCCCTACTAATTCTGGGTTTATAATAGGAATGCCCGCATGTCATGCACTCGGTCATCTTAGCATTTTAAAGGTAATATAACATGCAGAAGTTAGGGCACATGTCTATTTTATGGTATCCTAAACTGTATGGTTTCATTATGGACTTCACAGCATAGAAGTTTTCTTTTAGCCTGCTCCCTTCAATTAAAATGCTTCTCGTCCATTTGATAATCCTGTCATACATGGCCTCACTCAACCCGTGATCTAACTTGATAGTGAACACCTGTGCTACAATCGATAATTTACTATGATTCGTGCGGTCATCCCATAATAGTTCATCAGAATCTTTCAACAAATCAAAAAACCTAGCTGCATCTGCATTAGGTTCTTCTTCTACTATTGGACATTCACTGACATTACCTTCACTCATTCTCATTGCATCCATAATCATATTCCTGCAAGGATTACTATTGTCATTTCCAACTTTATATATGTTGCTAGCACTATAAGTTGACTGAACCATCCTTTCTACCATCCACTTATTAGAAACAAATAATTCTACATGTGCATACCAACACAAGTACTCCTCCATGAACCCTTTGGTTAAAAGATGCATCATTACAACATCTTAATGCATAAATTTTTTATTTTTACACTTTCTACATGGACACCTAATACCGTCATTGGTAAAATTTCTCGGGATAGATGGTTACACTTTCTACATGGACACCTAATACCGCCATTGGTAAAATTTCTCGGGATAGATGTTGTGAAATTAATAAAACCCTAAACCATATTACAATAATTCATCATTCGCAATCCTTGGGGTGAGCCTCGATACCTCCATGAATGATCATCCATAACTTCTATCAAACCTCTATAAAATTATGATGACAACATATATTAATTAACTATGGTACATAAATAAATATTACAAAAATATTGATTTGTCCCGATATTATCCAACAAACTAAAAAAAACTTTTGTTAAATATTCATTATCAATTATTAACTATCAACGTCCATATAAATTTATATATATATATATATATATAAATTTATAAAAATCACAACTTCACGATAGAATTGATAAAAATTAAAATGGACCCGTTAAACAAGCTATTATTTATTTCATCATAACACATCTAATTCTGTGTAATTCATACAAAGTTTCAATAATTTACAAACAAATAAAATTTGATAAAATCTAAAATAAACTATAACAGCTACAAAATTATATATTCATACTGCAAGTTTCTTTAACAAATAATAATCAAATAAGAACATACATTAACAAAAAACATATACTAAAAAAAATCACATTTAAATGTTAAAATTAAAAAAGATAGGATTACTTATAAAAAATGATAAAATTCACAAGAACAGATGTTATGACCACGTACAAAAATATAAGAAACTTGAGTGTTTGTGTCGAGAAGAGGGGGAAAGTTAGGATGGGTGGTTGGATGCAGTTTGGGAGGGGGGAGGTGGGATGGGGAAGGAGGAGGAAAAGAGCGTCGACAAAGTTGTTATATATTGGCTTTTACAAATAGAATCACCGATAAACACATTTCATTGGTATACTTGTTGGTGGTTTCACCAGTGACTATGCCATGTCATTGTATGGCGATCCCAGTTTGAATCCTTTGGTTATTCCTTTGGTAAAATCATCTGAAAAAATTCACATCATCACACCGTTACAACTTTCCAAAAAAACTATATAATTTATCGGCAATGTGGTCGGTATATACTGAAAAAAAATGAAGATAGAATTATTTTCATCTATAAAAATTACTGATGAAAAAATTTCATCGATAATTCCTTTGATTTTCACTTATTTTTTGGTTGTGGTCGTCGATCTAAATGGAAATATATTATGTACCTGGATTTAGTAAGATATAGTTATATATCATTGAATGTATTACGTGTGCAATTTGATTTTTACTTCTTGAAATTTAAGTTTATTGTTTTCATGTCCTTCTAATTATCAACTATGCCAGACAGATAGGATTTCTTGCTCGACATTATACGGGGTCACAAATGGTTATATTAAATCTCCTACAAATGGTTATATTAAATCTTCTACTAGTGGTTGCAAATCATGTTCAAATGTGCATGAGATGGATTTTTTTTCTATATTATTTTTTTTATTAAAAAACCTCTACATGTTTTAATATTTCTAGCTTTTTTTCATAAAATTCTATCTATAGTCTACATATATGCATTTTAGTATGTGTGCTTTCCCTTTTGTTTTCTTCCTTTGGAAAGGCATAGCTACTCGTAGTATTTAAAAAGAAGGCATTGATACGCTGGTTTTCAATGGAATATTTTATTGAGATAGCATTTCTCATGGTAACTTTTTAGGTACAACAATCCATTTTTGGGATCAACACAATTTTAATGGTCATTTATGGCCATCGACTTTGCCTCTGTTGTTGTTTATTACTCTGATTCAGTTGTCGATTAGTTACTCAAAGAACTCCAATATATTGCTAATTTGTTAGTATTTTTTTATAGTATTAACCTTGCAAATGTTTTTACTTTTTGTTGTTGCTTGGTTTTTTTTTTTTTTGTTCAATTTCATCTGTTTTAAATTTATTGTTATTAAATTTTTTAATATGTTAATGTATCTGCTTGTAGGAAGTATTAATACCTCTGAGGTGCTCATATTCCGAGTATATGTTCTATTAAATTGGATTAAAAAATTTTTTGTATATATTTATGAAGACACAGCAGAAGGCTCAACAGAGTCGTAGTAAAGTTGCTGTGATTTGGCGAGGAAAGAAAAAATAATGCAAATGTGTAATTGGGTTCCTTTTAAATTCAAATTTCAAATGGACTAAGGCTAGATTTGTTAAAAAGCCTAATAAAAAAAATAACAAACAAGTTAAACCCAACAAAATATTATTAAAACCCAATTTAATATTGGTTCATTAAAAAAACCTAAAATGTCCATTTTTGTTGTGCTAGGTTTACGGTTTTTACACCAAAAAAATTTATCTTGACCGAACCAAATGAGTTCTTGTTTTATATAAGCAATAACACTTACATTAAACAAATATCAATAAATAAATATCTTGTTTTGTAAAATATTTTAAAAACTAAATTATTTTCCCGTCCACCATATAAAACATAAATGAAATTAAATAAGAACTCGGCATGGACAATAAACACATATAATCCATAATCTAATTCCTGAGGAAATCAACATTCTATGCCGAGAAGCAGAGAAGCTCTTTTGGCTTTACAAGTGGCCTCTCAGTAAGTAACCAAGACCTGTCTAGCATCCTCCAAGCCATACGTAACACCTTTCCTTTGAGGCAAAATCCCATTCCCATCCTCGAAAGGATCTTCGAGATGCTGCATGTTCACAAAAAGGTACAGGCTTTAGATCAGCTAAAAGCATTTGAGAAGGAAGTAAAGAAGTAACTTAAATCGCATACTTGATGAACTGCTATACCATTCATTCCCATCAATATCTTCATTTTGCTTTTCAACTTCAACAAACTTGGCCATCTTCTTCGTACGAATTGAAAAAATTGGCCAGTTTTTGTGATACAGATTGCTGACTTTCATCCAAGGATTCTTCATTTCCACCATAATCATCGTCATTTTCATAAACCAAATGAATTCCACATTTCTTCAGCTCGACCCCTTCAATCAAAGGTGGTTTTGGCTTTCTTACCTGTATCTCAGAGCCATCTTTCAGCATTAAAACCAATGGATTGAATTGTGAATATCGGCATAAGTGAATTTGATCTTCATGAGTCTTTGGTATTCCCTTCAAGTACAATGTGGTGCTGAAAGTAGGTTTATTCTGATCCAGTAGATTGACCTGAATGTCTGGTACAACTGGGGAATATCTCAACTGCTCTGGTATCTGACGGTCGAGAGAGACAACGACACCTATAATCACAGCTTTGATTTCACGGTTTCTTCGCTCTGAAAATTTTACATCTTCTTGAGAAAACCAATCTGGGATTTTGCTCCCAGGCATGCTTAGGTTGCGTATATTCCTCAAGCAAACCTATAATAATAATTAAAAAAAAAAAAAAGTAAGAGGCAAAACCTTGTTACTCTAAAACTGGCACATGTAGGTACAAGATAGAGAACCTTCGATAGCCTTCTCTTCACTGTCAAGGAGCATGCCTTGCAATTGCTCATATATAACCATTTCAGGGATTTCAAGCATTCAATGCCAGGAATATCCACCATTTTCTCGCAATTTGTCATGTTCAGCAACGTTAAGCTTCCCAAGTTTGAAACATCCGACATAGTTTCCAATGCAAAGCAGTTGGAAACATCCACTTCTTCTAAGCTTGAGGGAAGCGGAGGGAGAGACTCAAGTTCTTCGCAATGGGGCAAGTGAAGCTCCCTTAGAAGAGAAAGGCCACATAAACTAGAAGGAAGACTGCTGAAATTGTTATGGCCAAGATCCACGATCTCTAATGATGACAGTTTCTCAAAATCGTCAGGAATTTTACCTGATATTCTCCAAGCACGAGCATTTAGTTCTTCTAGCAAGGATAGTTCGAAGAAAGAACTTGGGAGGACAACCAAGTGCTCCTGTGTGCTGGGAGATTCAAGTGGCTCTTTTCGCATTTTCAAAATCATTAAGTTAGAGAGCTTTCCAAAACTTTCAGGTAGTACTGTAACAGCTGTCTTCTCCATTAACAAGTGGCATAAAGACTTCAACTTCCCAATAGAAACTGGAAGCTTTTGGAGCTTTCTACACTGATGTAATCTCAACATCACAAGGTTTTCCAGCATCCCGAAGGATTCAGGCAACTCATTAATATTACAACCAAACAAGTTTAAGGTAGTAAGACTCAACATGCTCCCAATTGATTCTGGCAAAGAACTAAGAGATGTACACTTCCTCATGTAAAGCTTCTCAATCATTTTCAAACCGCCAATCTGCTCTGGAAGATGTGAGATTGATGTCTCATCTAGCTCAAGTTCGCTAATAGAAGCTAATCCTCCAATGGAATCAGGTAATTTGCTCAGGGAACGACACCCTCCAGCTGATAAGATTTTTAAATAAGGTAATGAACCGATTGCAGGAGGTAATTCCTTGATTGCACTGCTATTGATGGAAACTTCGGTCAATAACTGGAGATTGCCAACAGATTCAGGAATCGCAGTAAGTGATTGACACCACATCAAACTTAGTTTCTCAAGGTTTGACAAAGATCCGACAGAATCAGGCAGTTCTTCTACTGCAGATTGATTGAGAGAAAGTTCCTTCAGAGAACACAGGTTTCCCAAGTGTTTTGGCAGCCTTTTTATGAATTGGCATCCATTCAAACTAAGCTTCTCCAGTTTTGTAAGGCGGAAAATAGATTCGGGCAGCACTGATATAGCAGTTTTATCAACAAGAAGTTGTTTTAAGGAATACATGCTGCCTATTTCCTGTGGCAAGTCTTTCAACTTTGGACAGTTAGAGAGATTGAGGTTCTGAAGAACTTTTAGCCCAGATACATCACTTGGAAATTCAACAAGGTTTGAGCAATCATTCAAGTTCAGCTGAAGTAATGTCCTTGCATTCCCCACTGATTTGTGAACCTTAGTTAGCCGAACGCAACCTTGGAGATTAAGTTTTTCCAAGGTTTTACATCCAGATAAATCAGGACAAGCCACAAGATTATAGCAACCGTGAAGATCCATAACCATCAAGTTCTTGGCCACCTACAACGATGAATTTTAAGTAGCAAACATGAGTTACTAAGAGGAAAACGAGATCATTTTCCACAAGGGACAGATTGCAAATACTAGAATGAATTCAAATGAATTGTGATGATGAAACTATCCCACATCGGTTAGGAGAGGAGGTCTTGGTTTATAAGCACAAGGTTCAATCTCCCTTTGGCATGATTGAAACAGGGAGACCTGAGTAGTTATTTAACATTTTCTTTTAAGCCATCGTATGGACTAGATAAACAAATCATACCTTGTTACTGGTCCACCCCCAAACTCGTTCAATTCCACTCTCCGAAAGATCAAGCACAGCTAGCTCATGAGGAGCATAATCAGAAGGAAGATTTTTCATAGGACAACTTTTCCACTGAAGCCACTTCAGGCCAGCAGGAAAATTCTTGAACTTCCCTTGCAGTTTTGCATGATTGATTTGCAGCAGTCTCAGATTAACCATTGATTTAAAGCCTTCAGTGTCAAGTATCATCTCCCCCTCCTCTTGTCCTTGTCGAAGAAAAATCTTACACTTTTCAATCAAGTACACAAGTGCTGCACACGGATTCAGTGCTCTAACCCAAGAAATCCATTGAATTCTCGTATATTTCTTCTTTTCTTCTCCCTCTAGTCCTTGTCGAAGAAAAATCTTACACTTTTCAATCAAGTACGCAAGTGCTGAACGCGGATTCAGTGCTCTAACCCAAGAAATCCGTCGAGTTCTCGTATATTTCTTCCTTTCGAAGTCAAAAACTATACCTTTTACACTTTCTGTGCCCTGTTGACAGTCATTAAAGGAAGACATTCCAGAATAAGATTGGAAACAAAGATTCAGATCCTCTCATGTTTCTTTTAGAATTTAAATTGGATGAACATGATTTGATTCATAAAAAATAATAATAACTCAACTTTTTACTACTTCATTGCTCTCGCCTAATCATAATTATTGAATTTAAAATCAAACATTTTTCTAACTGAACATAAAAAATCCAAATCCGACATTTTATAATACTTAATACTGTAAGGGAAAAAAGAGCACAAACAATCTAGGAAAATAAAAATTAAACACCTTAAAGTTTGCGAAGAATCACATATTTTTCCCAATTGAATCACTTGGAAACAAAATCCATCCTCATCTCTCAGATGTCAAAAGATTCTTTTTGGCATGCACATGAATGATACTTTAATAGTAATATATACCAGCTACTATTTTCTTGAAAAGTACATCTTTTATGGAAAATACTTTCGAAAACTTTCTGATGTTTGGAGGAACTCTGAACAATTGGTTAGCAAAAATCATTTTCCTATGAAAGAAATGAAAGCATTTTTCGGTTTGCAAGAGGGCAGAACAATTTTGGTACTAGTTATATGACCTCACTTCGTTACTCTTCGATAATACATATCTATACTTCCGTGATGTAATATTGTACTAATATTACTTATCAAAATATTATATTAATATTTAGAATACTCTATCAAAAGTGGTTAAGGTTAAACAATTATTTAAAACATAGAATATATTGATAAGAAAATACATAATATACTCATGGACTTGTATAATTAATCTTCGAAAGTCAAAACCGGGAATCAAACCCCTAAAACTTCAGCCTAGGAACCTATCAGTCTTACCATCATCTGATCTACCTATGTGAGGGTAAATTCTCAACCTTCAGTTATATATTGAGCTTTTAAAAACTATGAAAAAAAAAAAAAAGGATGAATGTGTATGTATAAAGTAATGAGTTGCACCTTCTTGCGCATCAGCGTTGACACGATTTCACCGCGATCCCATAGCCTACTACGCCCTCCGGGATCTGCAAGGTTTTCATGTTGAACAATTTGTCTTCCCATGTCTCTGAGTTGATCATGCATCCATAATTCATCATCTTCACGAATCTTAATGAGGCATTTTGATGTCAGAACTGTGATGACTGTCTCAGCACTGGAGCCACAACCCTTCAAAATATCAATTGCTTCCTCTCTTTTCATTCCCATTTTAATAAACAAGCAAGCAATATCAAGGAAGACATGCTTTTCATCTTCATCCAACTCATCATAACTTATTCGTAACACATCCTGAAGATTATATGGCCTTATTCGTCGCAGTTTTTTCAGGGCATCTTCCCATCTATTTAACCCTCTTTCATTAAACAAAGTAGAACCAAACACTTCCAAAGCCAGAGGCAGTCCTCCTGTGAGTAACACAATCTCCTTGGATATATTCATGTATTCTTCTGTGGGTTTATCTTTTCTGAGTGCATGATAACTAAAAAGTTGTAAGGCTTCCGGGTAACCTAACTCTCTAACCTCGTAAAATTCATTGACAAGGTGTTCAGCTAGAACAGCTTTGTTTCTTGTTGTAACAATAACTCGACTTCCTTCACCGAACCAGCTTCTATTCCCTGCTAGTGCATTCAGTTGGCTTACATCATCCACATCATCTAAGACAATTAGTACCCGCTTCTCATGAACCAGCATTTTGATTACGTCAATACCTTTATCAATATTATTTACAAGAGGCCAATTTGGGGAAAGATCACCAAGAAGTTTGTTCTGCAGTTTTACTAGACCACCATCTTCTTTAGAAATATCTTTAACGTTGAAGATGAAACTACGACTCTCAAAATGACGAACAAGTTTATTGAAGAGAGCTGTGGCAAGAGTTGTTTTACCAATCCCGCCCATACCATGAAGTCCCAGAACTTGAACGCGATTTGATTTATCATCTATGAACCTCTTCTTGAAGTCTTCTACACGGGAATCCAGTCCTACGGTATAAGTAGCTATACCCACCGGGGTTTTTCTCAATTCTGTCATAACCCTATTCCCCAAACGCCGAATCAACTGATCTTCTAATCTGCAATAAAATAATATATAAAGCTTTGGTAAGGTGAACAATTAGCAGAGGTGGCTGTGTTTTCCTACAAAATTGATAACTCTACATAATTGCAATGATAGGATCCTTGGCCATGATAGTAAATCCCATGAGTTGCTGCTTAAAACTAGAATTCTCTTTAATGCTATTGGAAATCCCCGGTTCCACCCAAAAGTTGTAAGTTGCAACAGGCTTCGGCCTTCCTTGTAAAGACTAATTAACTAACTAATGTGAATCCATTATTAAAGCTCACTTTCTATATGAATGAAGCTCGAGCTCAACTCATTAAAGCTCTTTCTTTTTTCTGAGTTTATTTTTTCAGTGAAAACGATCGTTCGTGCGTGCGTGCTTTTTTTAATAGAAGATATCTAAAGATACAAAGAAAAGAAGAACTCCAGGGAAATGGTCAAGTAATAACATTAATTAGGTTTGTGGGACATGTTTATAAAGAAACTCATTTGCATGTTTATGAAATTTAAGAAGCAAAACAACTTGTATAATTTCATACAATAAACTTCTTTCATATGTAATTAAAAACACTATTTTTATTCAAAAAAATTCCATAAGAATTTAACAATAACATGAATATGAATAGCTTAAAATTAAGACGTAATAACATGACATATTACATTTTACAAAAATCAATGAGATACTCTAAGTTTATGAAAACTTTTATGATAGCGTACAAATTTTCCATTAAACATTAAAATGATGGAAAAGAAACCAGTTTCATATTAAGTTCTTTTGTCCTTCACTATACTTTAATATATAATTTAAGTCTAGATTGTTTAATGCTATATAGTAAGCAACTGCCCTGCCCCGCCCCAAGAACAACAAAAGGACCAAAGAGAAGGGTGTGAAATAAATACATCACCTGGTGTCATAAACGAAACCAGAAATACCACCAACTTTATTCATGGCTTCTCTCCATTTGCCCACCTTCTCCTCCCCATACCTCCCCATGTGATTCATAAAATCTTGTTCGAGAGGACCCTTCTGTCTCCTAACATGGGATGGATCAACTTGGTAGAACACAGGCAGGATCAGCCTCCTCAACTCGCATATTCTAGCTAGCTCCTCAAGACACCAATGAGAGTTGGCATATCTTGGTGAAAGAATAATGATCGATAAGGCTGAATCTTCAATGGCCTCCATTAGTGTTGGAGCAATCTCGTCTCCCTGAGTCATTCCAGAGTCATCTAAGAAGACTCTGATGTCTTGTTTGCTTAATGAATCGTAGAGATTTTTGGTGAAGCCGTGGCGGGTGTCTTCTCCACGAAAACTTAAGAACACATCCCAATGGAGTCTGAGAGCTGCCGGAGAGGATGAAACCATCAGGCTATGGGGCATGGCCATTTGGTTCTTTCTTTTCTTTTCTTTTTCTTTACTTTTATCTTCGTTGTGTGGTGATGTTGTCGGTTGCTTTATAGTTCTGTCACTGCTTGTACGCGGGGTGTTTATTCGACGTTGATTTTAAAGTTTTTTTTTATTTTAAAAATATATTAAAATAATTTTTTAAAAAAAAACTAATTTTAATAAGCTATCTAAAAACACTAAAAAAATTAATTTAAAATAAAAAAATCAAACCTTAATGAAATATGTTTTATTGAAAAAAAATACATACATATATATATATATATATTAAATGAAAAAACTTTGCAAATTTCCTTTTTTTTTCGAACTTAGATAAAAAATGCAATGCAAAAGCAAATGACAAAAGTCCTAAAATGCGAATACACAAAAATTATACCAATAACAAAGAAAAATGAAAAGTGCAAAGTCATACGAAGGAAGGTTTTCTTTTTTTTTTTCTTTTTTTCTTTTTTTGGGTATATATGGTTTGATTGGGAGTGCCCGAACAGCACAACTTAAAGGGCAAAAAAGGTATGGAGACACGCAAAAGAAAGGCATCTCTTTTTTCATTCTTTGACAGAAGTCCATTAAATCTACTTGATTAATAATTACAAACGACAAGAATAGCTCGGCTAGGAGGTGACTCGGGCCTAACTTGAAACGACATACCCCGCCACCTGCACCACAATTTGCCGACGGGAAAACTGTTTTTATAAAAATAAATTATTTTTTATATTATTTTGATATATTAATATTAAAAATAAATTTAAAAAATATTATTTTATCATATTATTATTAGATAGAAACCATTCAAAAAAAAGTTAAAATTAAATTGTTCAAAAACTTAACCATATAATTACCTCAATCAAAAAAATCAAAATAAAAACAAAAATTATAACTCTTTTGATTATAATAAATCAGTAAGTTGAAGTATTTGAAAGAAAACCACAAAAATAACTAATTTTTGATAAATTCAGAAAGTTCAATGAATAATCAAAAGTATGAATAGTTTTACTCCATATAAAACATTATTATAAAATAAAAGTTTAAAAAAACCAAATACAAAATATGTAACTATATTCATATTATTTAAAAAATCATAAAAAAACTAGAAAAGGATTAAAAATATTCTAGTAAAATAAAAAAAAGATTCTTAAACCAACAAGAAAGATAATGCATTTCTCACGTAATATCTTTTTAAACTTTATTGCAAAGTTTTTTTGAAATTTAATTGTTATAAAATTTCAATCCTATAAAAAAATCAACCTTTAAAATCTTATAGAAAAATGTTAGCATGATCTAAATATCATATTAAAAGTTATACTTGCTAGTCTAAAATCATAAGTTAGAAAAAATAAGTCAAAAATCACTTCTCCTTGTCCAATTTATAAAAATAAATTTAAAAAATATTATTTTAACGTATAGAAACCATTCAATAAAAATTTAAAATTAAATTGATCAAAAACTTAACCATATAATTACCTCAACTAAAAAAATCAAAATAAAAACAAAAATTATAACTCTTTTAATTATAATAAATTAATAAGTTGAAGTATTCGGAAGAAAACCACAAAAATAACTAATTTTTGATAAGTTCAGAAATTTCAATGAAAAATAATCAAAAGTATAAATAGTTTTACTCCATATAAAATATTATTATAAAATAATCCAAGTCTAAAAAAACCAAATACAAAATATGTAACTATATTCATATTATTTGAAAAATCATAAAAAAAACTAGAAAAGGATTAAAAAAATTCTAATAAAATAAGAAAAAAATTCTTAAACCAACAAGAAAGATAATGCAATTTTCACGTAGTATCTTTTTAAGCTTTATTGTAAAGCTTTTTTGAAATCTGATTGCTATGAAATTTCAATTCTATAAAAAAATCAGCCTTTAAAATCTTATAGAAAAATGTTAGCATGATTCAAATATCATATTAAAAGTTATGCTTTAGGAATCCTTGCAAAAGAAGGATTGCTACTTGATTTATTTTCTTAGAAAGTAAGGAATCCTTGCAAAATAAAGATTCCATATGTCATTAAATCCTTTTCTTGTAATAATACACAAATTATATGGTAAATGTTTCTTTTTTTACTTTCTTTATTTGCTAGTAGATTTCAAGTCTGACTTCAAATATGTTATTTTCTCATGTGTGGATGAGTTATTATGCTTATAATCTATTAATGTAAAGCTTATGATATCTAGTTTTCAGCCCAACTAAAATTAAAGAAAATTGTCACCTGTAACTCTAGATGTTACCCAAAAAATACATAAAAATTTAGTTTGATAAATTTACAACTTTTCAACCCTGACTTAACCTTTTAAATTTCTCTTTTACTTTTAGAACGTATAATAAACTCAATTGATATTTCTAATGAATCATTTTATAATGATTGTTAATTCTCATCATTCCTTATCTTCTTACAATGATTTATCCTTGACCAATAAAACACTATATAGGCAATGTGTCTACATAATCCTTCAACAAAGAATCATTAACACTATTTTGTATAGACTTGTTAGTATAAAAAACATTATTTATAACTTTCTCTTGCATAAAATCTCTCATACTTCTTTATTTTTTCCTCAAAATTATTTTTTATTCTTCATAATAATAATAATAATAATAATAATAATAATAATAATTATTGTAAATTTAATAATATTATAACATTAATAATAATATTTAACTTCTCTACAGTTCTTATATTTTTTAATGTTTTCTTTTAAATATATAGTATTTCTTCGATGGTAATAATATTTTTTTTCAATTTACTAATTGACATGACTAAAAGATTTGATGTTTTCTCCTAAATGTAGGAGTGTCGAAATAATAAATAACTTGACATGACCAAGGTCGAACCACAAGGAGATTAACTATATAAATTATAAATAACAACAACAAGTTAAAGAGGAATTTGAGAAGTAAGATTAATGGAGGATTAAAAAATGATAAAAAAAAATATCAAGGTTGGAGGATCCACTAACAGTATTTCAAACAAGTATAGTATCAATTCTTTTTATTACTCAACTAGAAACCACACACAAAAAAGTTTTCAATCGGATTATGAATTGTTAACATGATTACATTAGTTATCTTATTTGAATAATGCTAATACTTATAAATATTGTCAAACATTCATGATTATTGACACGACTAAATTATTGATGTCTTCTCCCAAGTGCAGGAGTGTCGAAGTAATAAATAACCTGGCAAAACCAGGGTCGAATTATAAATTGTTAACATGATTACATTAGTTATCTTATTTGAATAATGCTAATACTTATAAATATTGTCAAACATTCATGATTATTGACACGACTAAATTATTGATGTCTTCTCCCAAGTGCAGGAGTGTCGAAGTAATAAATAACCTGGCAAAACCAGGGTCGAACCATAGAGAGGTTAATTGTACAAATTATAAACAACAATAATAGTAACAACAACAACAACAATAATAGTAGCAATAATAATAATAATAATAGTACTTATACTACTAATAATAATAATAATAATAATAATAATAAAGAGGAAGAAGAAGAAGAAAAAGATGAGAACATTGAGATGGAATACTAATATAAGGATTAAACAATGATAATAACAAATGTCAAGGTTAGAGGTTCCACTAATGGTATGTCAAATAAGTATAGTATAAACTCTTATTATTCAATTGGAAACCACACATAAAAGAGGTTCCAATCAGATTATAGACTATTAACATGATTACATTAGTCATCTTATTTGATTAATGCTAGTACTTGTAAATCTCGTCAAGCATTCATGATTATAACTTATGTTAACAACAAATCAAGTTCCTTTCATAGCTCAGGTGTCGGTTATACCATACATTATGGGCTATGAAAGTGCCAAGCATTTGTTGTACCAAGTGTTATACAACATAAATCAAGATTAGTCATTTAACAAGCAAAGTATTAAAGAGTGAACAAGATAACAAATATAAAACATGTTAGTATCAAACATTAAAGTCCATATTAAGTTTACACTATACTTATTTTTACACAATTAGTGTAACCTTTTCACCTTGACATATTAAGTTTACACTATACTTATTCATGAAAATCGACACTAATCTTGAAAAATTGAAAAAGTATTTTCCCGCTCTGCCTCAGAATGCGATTACAAAAATTTACCGTGCTAGATGTGCAAGATTGAGATTGTTAATGAATCATGGAATTCCTAAAGATATTTGACACGACTAAAAGATTGATGTCTTCTCCCAAGTGTAAGAGTGTCGAAGTAATAAATAATCCGGCAAGACCGGGGTCGAACCACAAGGAGGTTAATTGTATAAATTATAAATAACAATACAACAACAATAACAATAACAACAACAACAACAACAATAGTAATAACAATAATAACAATAATAACAACAACAACCTTAAATGCAAGTATGGAATAATAATAGTAATAATTTTTTAGTGAAAATTATCTCCAGGTTGATTATTTTATTTTACATTGTTTATTTTATTCTTAAAGTAGATTCAAGTTGATCATAAACTAATTCGTCAATATGATCTACTTCTTGTAAATCATTATCATCTCCAGGTTGCTTGCAAATATTGAAAATATTCATCTCCAATGTCATATTTCCAAATGATAGCTTCATCAGTCCATTCCTACAATTAATCAATGCATTAGAAGTTGCAAGAAACGGAAGTCCTAAAATAACAGAAAATGAATTACATGCTTCAACAGGTTCTGTGTCCAAGATAACAAAATCTACAGGATAAATAAATTTATCAACTTGTACTAACACATCTTTGACTATTCCTCTAGGCACTTTTACAGATCTATCGGCAAGTAAAAGAGTTACAAAAGTTGGTTTTAACTCATCTAGATTGAGACTTTGAAAAACTGAATATGAAAGTAAATTCACACTAGGTCCAAGATCAAGTAAGACTCTTTCAATTTTATGCTCTCCAATAAAGCAAGAAATTGTAGGACAACCAGGGTCTTTATATTTCAAAGCATTATTGTTTTGAAGAATAGCACTTACTTGTTCAGCTAAAAAGGCTTTCTTTTTCACACTCAATTTCCTCTTCACAGTGCATAGATCTTTCAAAAATTTAGCATAGGAAGG